CCTGAGTGCTCCATCTTCTAGATGTTTCCTACATTTTGTTCATCAAAATCAAGTCTTCTAGTTCTTTTTTTCCCTTTGGCATTGCATTTGTTTCTTATATTATGGGAGTACCCATTCACCATATTCAGGGTCTGGGACTCAGGTTCCAATATTTTTTCCTTTTTAGGAGGACTACTTTTAATGGTCTAAAATGAACACACCACTACATTCAGGGTTCAACAAGAATTTTCCAATATACGTTTATCCAAGATAATACATTGTAAAACATCATTTCCAATATGGTACATATTCGATGATGAGAAACCCACTTTGAGACTAATAATGCTTGGACATGGCTTGAATGGGTAATGAAGAAAATCTTTAATATAAATTTAACATAACAGCAAATGTACAACATTTCGACAAGGTTTTGTCATCATCAGGTACAAGTAGTTTAAGAAAAGGTTTAGAAAAGATAACTGTTTATTGTTTTCATGTTCTATGGTAAATTTGATGTTGAGTGAATGGAATTTATGTGTTCAAAGAAAGTTAGTGTGTGTTCTGTAGAAGTGAAACCAGCAAAAGTGTCATTGAAATATCTGTACCAGTATAGTGGAGATTGAAGCTCAGAATGTATGGCTTGTGTTTCGATCTGGGTCATAAATATATTGGCAAGAACGGGCGAAACAGGATTGCCCATACTTAAACCATCTATTTGATGGAAATGTTCGTTGTTGAAAATGAAGTTGGTTTTAGTTGTTGTAAATTCTAAGAGAGAAGCAAAAATTGTGCTGGGGATGTGGATTACCATGTTGGGGTTATTAATGTAGAGGTCAAGTGCAATATTACAAGCTTCATTGGTGGGGACTTCGGTAAAGAGTGGCACGACATCAAAACTAGACATTAAGGCTTTCGAATTTAGTTGGTCTAGTGTATATTTGAAATTGAAGGCATCTTTAAAAAATCAACCTGCTGATGTTACATATGGTGTGAGAGCCCAGGCTATGTATTTGCCAAGGTTGTAGTTGAAGGAATCATAAGTGGACAGTATAAATCGTAGGAGGCAGTCCTGTTTGTGTGGTTTAGGAATGCCATAGAGTTGTGGTGTGCATGAATCAGTGTTACGTAGTTAAAAATAAAGATCGTCAGTAAGTAAATTTTTTTTTTCATTTGTAATAAAGTTCTGTTTAGTTGTGTTTCGTGTGTGTTTGTTGGGTTGTTTAGTATGGCTTTGAATTTCTTTTTAAAAGAAAGGATGTTGTTCATTTTGTCGATGTATTCTGAATTGTTCATGATTATAGTGGTGTTGCCTTTATCAGCTTTTAACACATAAATTCCATTCATCCGAACAACAAATTTATCATAGAACATGAAAACAATAAACAGTTATATTTTCTTAACCTCGACATTATTAGATCAGACACACAGTTTAAAACTAAAATTAGCTGTAAGAACACACACACTGGCCTCTACATCCCCTGGAATTCCAATCATGACACCACACAAAAAAATCAATACACTCAAAAACCTCATAAACACAACTACAAGACTCTGTTCAACAGACTACATAAATGAAGAAATCAACCACATAAAGCATTCCTTCATTCACATCAATAAATTTCCACCAGCTATTATTGATAAACTCTCCAACATTCCCCACAACAAAACTCAACTCACAAACAAAACTGATACTAACAAACCCAACAACAGTACATTACACTGCAGTTTACCTTTTGTCCCTGAAACCAGCTCGAGAATTACCCACACCTGGACAAAACTAGCCATTAAACACAATATTCCTGTCAACGTCAAATTCTCTCAAAAACCCAGCCCTAAATTAAAATCGTTACTAAAATTATTTAGAATCACACAAAACAATACCAACATCATTTACAAAATAACATGCAATAACTGCCCAGAATTCTACATCGGAGAAACAGGAAGAAAATTGGAAACCAGATTCGCAGAACACAATAAAAACAGTCCCATGTTTACCACCATTGCAACTCAAAAAACCATAGTATATCTATTAAAAGCAGTAATTTTAAACAAAGAACAAACATATACAAAGAAATATAAAGCCTGTTACTTTTGATAAATTTAGTTTTTTTGCATTATGATCTTTAATATTTTGGAAAATTACATTAGGAAATGGTATTTATAAGAAATGATTATGATATTTATATTTGTTTCAGATTTGAACTTATTACTTCTTATGTTTTAGTACCTTATTTTAAAATCTCTGAAAACTTTTTATCATCCATAAAATGCTAATTTTGACTATTTTTAATAATCACATACTCTCCTTATGGTTTCAAGTAATATACATGACCCGAAAATAATATTTCTAAGTAAACCGACCCAATAAACGAGTATTTTTTTTATTTTTGACTAGGATTTAATGTTTATATATATGGACATAAAGAAACATTTTAATTTTGTTTCATAAATGTATTTTTATTTCACATTTATGTTTCATTGCAGCCGTACTTTTGTTTATTGTGCCAAAAAAAAACCGTGAGGTTAGAAGCATGAACTTCATACATTTGCTGTAAACTATCACGCCTGTTAGGGATCACTCTCGTTCAGTCCAATGCAGACACATTTGAACATTACTAAATATATGATAGTTAGAAAGCTTTTCAGTACTTGAATATCATTTCTTTGAACTTTCAAACAAGTTTATTTCAATTATATCCTTGTATGTTGTTT